TGTTAACAACACATTAGACTGGACGCTGATAATAACTCAATATCCGAAATTACTGAACTGTGCCTCTTATGTTTCCTGCCGCATCGAGTTCGGTTTTTTGCTTGCAAACCTGTTATGGCGGAAGGGAATGTTGTCGGCGGCACGGGAAGCTCTGTTAGAGTCGTTAGCCAGCATAATACTACTACCTTCGGATATGGATGCAGACGTTCTACGCGTGTTTCAAAATTTGTTGATATATCCCGATGGGAATGATGTTTTCGGTCAGGTAACGCATTCCTTATGCGGGTCTCGTGGTAAAACCTACTTATGGCTAAGCTATTGCTTGTTTTGCCTTATCTGCTCCACACAGCTTACAGAGGTGTTGAATCAGCTTGTCCATTACTGTAAGCAGTTGCTGAAATCCCCCAATTGGACTATTAGCGGAGTTCCATTTTATCGGCTTTTGCTTTACATGGCTATCGTTCTCATCAACAAAGTTCACGCCACCAACGGACCGCTCTATTACGAATCGATGACCGCTGTTCTCTGTGATCCGATGCTCCCGCTCGATCGAGTTTTGTTGCCTGCTTGGTTCACGGAGATTATACAACGTGTTCAACTTGCCTCGCTGCCATCCCCTGGAGAAAGACACGATCTTTGCGTGGCGCTGGTGGAGAATTATGGCCCGTTGCTGATTCCATCTTTTTGTCGCAGTTTATTTGCACTCGGCGATCGTTTCTTGGCTCGTAGCTTGTGTTCCATTGGACGGTTAGATAAACCAGATAGCGAGGCCTTTTGGTTATTGTTTGGTTCACTTATGGTCAATGAACCGGCGAATTCGAGTTTCTCAGAGCGATTCAATCCCTGCCAGTCTTTGATTGAAGTGTTTTCCGAAGCAGTTACGGCCGTTTCTTCGAGTACAGGCTTGTGGCGTCAATACATACAAGCTGTTATTTCCAGCGGTTTAGACGCAGGTCCTTTGCACAAACGCGCCAAAGAATTAGGAATAGGTGTTGTCCTTGAGCATGCAGATTCTGCTAAACAAAAAACGAACACTGTGAATCAGAAATCAGCTAAAAGCAAAGCAAGATTCATATTGGGTCTAAAGTCTGACAGAAGAAAAAGAGGTTCATCGGTCGCGTTGCCTTCCGGAAAGCAGATAGCTTCTAAAAGTGAGTGTTCCAACTTTGTCCGTTCCATTCATTTTACAGCCTATGGTAATTTCGTGAAATGTAGATGGGTTATTCATTTACGAAAATCGCAGAAGGAGAATACATCGCCATGTAATCGACTTCATTAGCAACAGATTGCTATAAGATTCCCCTAGTTGAATTCATTATCAGTAGTCACAATGCGAACTTGGTTCGATGACTGATTAGTTGTTAAGTTACAATATTACGCATGAATGAGATCGAAACCTGCAAAGGGCTATCGGTGTTTGAGCATTACCATATGTAAAATGTTACTGAGTAGTTGGAGCTGAGATGTCACCTTTAGTCGTCAAGTGTTTGGTGGTCGCGGTTGCACAGTAATGTGAGTGTGGTTTTCAATTTGCATTGTTTTGAGGTACTTATTGCACCAGTTTTCGTATAGCCTTCTTTGCTGTTCTGAAATTGTAGAGACAAGCCGTAGTTGAAAGCCTAGCGCTTAAACTGTAACAAAGCTTGCGGATGAGAATCCTTAGAGGTGCGTTTCGTAATGTCATTTGTGTTAGTGTCTTCGTTTTTTGATCAGCCTAATTTATATTTGAAGAGTTATGTGGTAAACATTAGTGCTAATTCATATATTCGGTTTTCTTATACGTCCGATTCGTCGTGTTGTTTTGACAGAAATTTCAGCCTTATGTTTGTTTTCAAAATAGACTTGATTTAAAGCGAAAGACAGTGGTCGATCGAGTATATGGAGGTGCAGAATCATTAGTTATACAAGTGCAGGCTTACGGGATGAGCCACACGCACATAGTCTGGCTTCAGATGTGCGA